GGTTCACAAAGTATTTAACTCTTTCCACGTCTTTCACTCGTTTCTCTTGTGATGTAAACACTTGACTTGTTATTCAACCAGTCTGTCAGACAGTCAGTATGAATCTCTCGAACAGCAAAAGAAAAGAAACACACAAACACACACACACACCCACACGCTGTATACACACCCACTAGGGGTTTTTACACAATCTACTACATATTTGAGAGAGAGAGAGAGAAAGTGTGCATCTGTCTGTCCATCTGTGAGTCTGTTCAAGAACTCCTCCTGAACGGAAAGGGCTAGGACCACCAAATCTGGTATGCAGCTCCCTCATCTCATAACTTAAAGCAGTGCTTTTCGAAGTCGGGTTGCGGGCCCACCCGGATAAGCCAGTGGCGGGCCTGCAAAGCTTTGTTTATCCACGTGTCCATAGCCACGGAACCTTACAGCTCCCATTGGTTGTGTGAAAACCATGGACTTAAAGCAAGGTAAGGGGGTTGGTTGTGCCAGGACAATAAACTCCAAGGGGATGGAGTCAGCCAGCAGAGACAGTTATACTGCAGAACAGTGTCTCCAATCTTTCAAAGCATGAGATCACTTTTGTAAGTTAAACGCAATCCGGGATCCACCTCAAACCCAAACACCCTTGCCCCGCCTCCTTCCTGCCCCTTCTCCAAGGCCCCGCCCCTGCTCACTCCCTCCTCCCGCCCCCCCATCCTTATTCACTTTTATCAGGCTGAGTGCAGAGGTGCAGGGAAGGAGACTGCAGACTCTGATCTTGGGCTAAAGGATTTGGAGTGTGGGAGGGGTTCTGAGCTGAGCCTGGGGCAGGGAGTTGAGGGTGCTGGCTCTGGGAAGGAGTTTGGGTGCAGGGGGACTTAGAGGGAAGATCGGGCTTTGGGGTACAGGAGAGGTTCAGGACTGGGGCCGGGGTTTGGAATGTCAGCTCCAGCTGGACAACGCTTACCACAGGCAGCTCCAGGTGATGGTGCAGGGGACTAAGGAGGCAGGCTAAACCCTACTCTGGCTCTATACCACTCCCAAAAGCAGCCAGCAAACTCTCTCCATCCCTTCCCCCTTCTGTTCTATGGAGGTGAGTTACAGGGGCACCCTGACATCAGCACTCCCTCCTCTTCTTCCTGTGCTCTGCACAGCAAGCAAGAGGCTCCCGGGGCTGGTGGGGCAGCTCCAAGCCAGAAGACAGGAGCAGCTCGTCAGTGCTGAGAGGGGCAGCTGAAGTGCCGGCACTTGCTAGCCTCCTGGCCAAACCTGTCAGGATCACCTGTCGAAGGCTCCACAATCTACCAGTACATTCTCCAATCTACCGGTTAGTAACCTCTGCCGCAGAATGACCCCAGGTGGGCGGGGAGGACACACTGGTAAGAGAGTGGCCAGCTGGGGGCGGGGCTCTGGATGCCGCCAGCCACCATATATGGGTAAGCTGGTGGCTGTGCCGCAGGACCCCCGCCAGTCCCAAGGATCAGGCAACCTCCTGTACCCCCACGCCCTGCCCTGAATCCCTTTTCACCGCCCAACCCTGACTCCTGCACCTGAATTCCTTGCCCCGAGCCTCTCCCTCGCTCCCAACCCGGACTCCTGCACCTCCCACATTCCCCCAGCCCTCTGTCCTGAGCTCCCCACATCCTCAAGCTGCTGACCTGACTCCTGCACCCCCAACACCCTCAGCGTCCTGCCCTGAGCCCCTTCTTGATGACCTGAGCAACGCCGGTAAATGTGCTAATGTCATAAAGAAAAAAAACGAGCACAAACTATCTATCTCCCTTGCAGGTTGCCATTAGCTCTAGTGGGTTCTGCCAGTCTAGTATTGTGATGGCGCGTTGGGGGTCCCCCGTCTCCTGCACCCCGAAATGGCACAAACAGACTCCACCAGCCAGTGGAATTGAGGGTGGTTTATTGCTCCTCCAGGATACAGCATAGCACAGATGTAATCTGGTTACAGGAACTGGGGCTAAGAGGCCTCAGTGCTCCCCTTGAGATAGGGGAGTCCCAGCCCCCTCCCCAGTTCCTTCTCCC